GTAGCAAGAGACATTATGAAGCCCTACCTGTCCCGAGATTCACCCATCCCTGCCTTGCATTCCTTGGGCCAATCTCTTGAAATCAGTTGTGACTTGCTGCTTTCCTGAGATGGTCACCAGCAACTGTAAAAGCTAGGGAACTAAAAGGGGGCATTGTGGGGAAGATTTCTTAGGGGAAAGTGCAGAATAAAGCATAGGTGGAAGGCAAGTAGAGAGGGAGGATAATGGAAGTGGAAAGATTTAAGAAGAGATGGAGGTGGGTGAATGATCCAGACAAGGGTTAGAAGGAGAAACAATGACAATAAGGTAGGGGAACATGGAAAAGCTATATAAAAGCCTACTATTTTGTAAGCCAATTTTTAAAAATAGAGTTTGAAGTGAGATATGCAGCATCGCTAGATAATGCTGCTCCTAAAATCATGAGTTATTAAACAGAAGTCCCAGTGTCAAATGTGGTACAATTCCTTATCAACTATTATTCCATGAAAACTCAGAGCCTCCCCCACCTCTCAAAAAATGCACAGGCATTTGCAATTCTTCTAGGTTATCCACCAACACTAGATGATAAGTCAATGTTGGTGATGACACCACACACCTCAGTGGCAAGACAGAGAGAAATCAACTGGAGCTGAACTAGGAGCCTCCTACATTCTATGGTGATGGATGGTGCTATGCAGGATGCTGGAAGGGATGGGGTCCATCTGTCACATCAACAGTCTTACCCATCTGTGAACTCTAGAAATTACGATACTAATGTGCCAGGCAAGATGTGCCCAATAGTGCATTGATAACAGAACTGTTATGGGGATGCACAATAATTCTCTAGTTGGTTTCCAGGCTGCTCCACAGGAGAGACTTACGGCAAGCATTAAATCCCTAATCAAAAGCCATAGTTAGGAGGTCATAGGCCTTGTGGGGTGTATTACTATTCTTGTTTAGCTAAACTGACACAGTGTCTAAATATTTGTTTTTACCCATAAGAAAATGCTACTCTCAGCCTTAATCATAGAAGCTTCCTTTGCAGTGAATGACAATCAATGTAGAGACTCAAGGTTGCACAAAGTTCTGGAAATAAGTGACAGTTGTGTGTTTATCTCTAAGTAGGACATTTATACCACCCCTCCAAATCTCAGAGAATATCACAAAAAGGGAACAGAAAAAAATATAAGAAGCCAGAAGATAGGGAGAAAGTCTGCAAAGTGCTATTTTCTGAACATGACAGAGCCATTGGAATTATGAAAGCACAACAGCTTTATTATCACCCTGCACAAGACTGGGCCTGATAACACTCAAATATTAGATCCTATGAAGCTCCATCAGATAGAAAGTCCTGGCTAAATTCAGTCAGTTACAAAATTAAAATAAAGGTTATGAATAAGGGAAAGGGGTTTGTAGGGAAGAGAGATTAATAGAAGGGGTGTGAGGCAAAGAGATTTTTTTTAAAGGTGGAGGATTGAGGTAATCAGGATATATCATATGCATCTATGAAAATGCAAAAAAGAATGAATTTTATTAGTAAGAACAATTAAATTAAATAACAAATGTGGAAAGGTATAGAACATAAAGATAACCCATCAGGGGTTTGTCCCTGGAGAAGACTGATTCTCCGTCTTTCATCAACCATTAATTGCATATGTTTCTTTTTCTAGAGCCTTGTGCATTGTCTCCCAGCCAAATTGGCCTGTCAATTGGTGGTGTCATTATTTTAGGTCTTATTTAAGCAACCTCAGTTTGATATTTGATGGTGCTATTTCCCTCTCATATATAGAAGATTCTAATTAAAAACAGCAAATGGATGAGGGAAATGAAATAAATATAGTACTCACGTATAAAATTCCCCAAACAATGAAACAAAGATAACGATGAACATCAATGTCATCTGTATAATATGTGTAAATGTAGTTTTCTATTATTTTATTATGAATAGATCAATTTTACATCTAAATAAAGGCATAATGTCTAATGGCCTTCTTAAGCATCTGTTTGCTAAAGAAGGAGCAGCATGCCTTGGGAAAAAGGTCTTTAGCAAAACTCTTCAGGCTTGTCATGTGAGAAAAAGCATCATTTATCTGAAAAGACAAAGAAATGTTTCTGTGCGGCTCACCCTGCTTGCTTCATGTTAAAACTACTCCTGCATGGGGAAATGAGCATTTCTTAAGTGTGCCATCAAAGCCTTGTAGATGATCTCTTTCCTTGAGACATTTTTGCTGATGTTTTCTTGCGCATCAAACGCCTACTTTTGAACTCATTATGAAACAACTCTGAAGAAGTTCTTCATATTCTGCCACAATTCTCTTTCTATACTTTTATCCCTTCATAGAATTCACAATGTTTAAAAACCCGAGATTCTAAAGGCATGCCACCTATATGTTCTCATACCATTAACTGTATAGCCTTAAGTAAATCTTTTGTTGTTGTTTTGAGACAGGTTTTCTATGTGTAGTTTTGGTGTCTGTCCTGGATCTCGCTCACAGAGTTCCAACTGCCTATGCCTCCCAAGTGCTGGGAATAAAAACGTGTGCCACCACTCCCCAACTTAAGTAAATCTTAACCATTTTCTTATTCACAATGCAGGAAAGAAGAATTATATTTAACAGCATATTTTAAAATGTGACACATGGCATGATATTTCAGATATTTTTTACTAAGAGAAAAATGAAAGATATAAAGTTTACACATTAAAAGAAAGTCTTTATTGTCCCCTATTTAAGATATAAATACATGTATATGAATATAACCTTTATATATATATATGTTTATATATACATATTAATGTTAATGATCAAGGCTAAAACGATGGACAAGCATATATGTGATCAATGGAACATACTTTCAGCTGTGGTTTGTTTTTTCCATTAGACCTTTTGTTGTAAGAGAATCCTCATCATGTAATTAAAAAATAGCAACTTTTGATATTATGTACAATGCTCTGTTCAATAGCCAGAAACTTTTAAAAGCAATCACAGACAGAATCCACTGATCAAAATTAATGATAATTTCATTTATATTCAGGACAAATTATCAGTTCACCATAGCAATATAAGTTGGGTTTGAAGAAAATCATGGGCAGAAAGGTAACTTAATCCAGCTTCAAATATTTGTAAAAACTGAACATTAGTCCAAAAAAATATAGAGTATCATTAAAGGCACATGGCTGAAAACACAGAATAAGAAATATCATTAAAAAACTAAAAATTCTCAAAGTGTTGATGAGTTTACAGTCTATAATTTGTGTCATCCATTTTCTCTTTTAAGGCAAGTACAAGTAATTAATACCCTGAAACAGGAAATGGATCTGCAGAATTCTTTCAGAAAAGCAAAACAGAGATGGATTTATTTGAAAAAAAAAATCAACTTCCCGGAATTCTTTGGATGGATAAAATACATCAGGGAAAAAATAAAACAGTTGGTAGTGTTAGTCTAAAATAAGAAGATATAGATTCCAGCTCATTTCCTCCAAGTTCTGTTTCTGAAGAGGATGATGTCTTCATCAATAAGGTTTTGCTTTGAAATCCTGGCGGCGGCGGCGGGGGGGGGGCATGCAACTAAGGACCACAGGAATAGCCTAAATTATTGGGGGGAGTTTCTTCAACTCCCTTGCACAACAACTCAAAGGAAGGCTTCCATGCCTGGCACTGAAGATTTTGTGGGGACTGGCTCCCAGAGTATTTAAGGGTGTTATACAAGCCGACAAAAGGGGAAACAATCAAGAGTCCTGTCCAGCTTAAAGCCTGTGAATGACAACAATGGCCACCATTGCACGATATCCCCACGGGTGCAATGATGGCACTTCTCAGTCCTACAGCAACCAACAGTTGTCTAAGTGTCTTCAAGCTTGCATAGTAGGAGAGAATTGTTGCCTGATACTGTAAACCTAACCAAATAACCATGGCTGGTGGCTCTCTGGACCCTAGAGGAGAACCTGCTGCTGTCCATTTCCCAAACCTGTATAATTTCTCACTACATTCAAAATACTCATACCCACAGGTAAGTATAGCTCTCATAATCATTAAAGACACTTTGTTTTGTAGCAGATGGAGACCATTACAGAAATCTAAATCTACAGTTGACCAAAGTTCAGAGAACAAATGGTCACGGGTTACTCATCCTCAATGAATACATTACTCACTATAAAATTCTTACAACTTAGACTCAGAGGACATCATGGATGAGGGTTAAAAAGACTGTTGAAAATCCAGAAGACCAGGATGTCTGCTGTGAGATAGTGTCCTCTATATATGACAGGGAATTGTACCCACAAAATCTCAAAAAATATGGCTACCTAAACAAGACCTTCACAACAACAACAATAACAACAGTTGTCATGTCAGTGTGAATAGGGGAAACCTCATAAGGTCCCACCCCCAGATGAAGAGCTATAGGCAATAAAAGCTGCTGAGAAAAGGAGAACTCAGTCTTCTCCAGGAATGAACTCTCTGATAGGTTATCTGATCCTGAAAGTTGCCATAAAGTATATAAGCACAAGTAACACCAACTAAACTAAATATGTATGCAAATCTATACTGTTATATGTGCATCTATATTAACTTAATTCAGAGGTCATGAATTGGAGACAGGGTTGGGGAAACACAGGAGGAGTTTGAGGGAGGAAAGTCCATTACAAATGATGTATATAATACTCATAATTGAAATTCTTTAAATAAATAAATAATGGAAAAATATGAAAAGGTATCATCCCAGGGTCTCTATCTCATACAGGATACAGGAGTAAGTTGGAGTCACACTCTCAAAATACAGGTCTCCAGACCATGAATTTGTAACTCCACTGTATACATGGAAATACAAAATATAACTGTATTTCATGGGGAAAGAAGAAAAGATATTAGAGTGAAAATATTCCTTTTCTACCTTAAAAATATTATAGAAAGAAAAATGAAGAGATGGAAAGTGAATCACAGAAGGAAGTTGATAGGAAAGAGAAGTGAAGAGAAAGATACAAATTGGAGGCATGGATGATGTCAACAATCCCACTCGTTCACTTAGACTGTGATTCTCTTCAGTGTTCTCTTCACCGCAAGTTTGACATCCTTGTTCCTGAGGCTGTAAATGAGGGGGTTCAGCAAAGGCAGCACAAAAGTGTAAACTACTGAAAAAAATTTCCTCTGAACCACGGACTCTGCCGATGACGGTTTGATGTGAGCCAGCAGACCAAATCCGTAGAAGAGGGCAACAGTTATTATGTGAGAACTACATGTGCTCACGGCTTTGGACCAACCCTTAGATGATGACAAATGAATTACATTAACAAGAATCAAAGCGTAGGAGGATACAATAATGAGGCTGGATACAACAACGACTACAGCCACAGAAACAGAACTCACAAGCTCACTGGCATGGTTGCTACCACAGGAGAGCTCAAGGAGGGGGAATGTATCACACATGTAGTGGTTGATAACTTTGGAATCACAAAACCTAAGCCTGATAATACATCCTGTGTGGACAACGGCAGTAGAGAGCCCCATCAAGTGTGACGCAAGCATTAGCAGGGAACAAGTCCTGGGAGACATGACTACTGTGTACAGAAGGGGCCTACAGATGGCCACATACCTATCATAGGCCATGGCTGTCAGCACATAGCACTCAGAGTTAACAAAAAGGCAGAAAAAAAATAGCTGAGCCATGCATCCTGTGAAGGAGATGGTGTTGTTTTCTGAGACAAAGCTCATCAGCATTTTTGGGGTAAAAACAAATGAATAACAGAAGTCAATGAAGGACAAGTTGAGGATAAAAAAGTACATTGGTGTGTGAAGATGTGAATTCAGACAGATGAGACTCATTAAACTCAAGTTTCCCACCACAGTGGCTGTGTAGTTCACCAAGAACAGGACAAAGAGGGGCAGCTGGAGCTCAGGCTGGTCTGTTAATCCCACAAGAATGAACTCAGTCACTGAAGAGTCATTCTCCGTATCCATTTGCTTCATGTGTAGCATCTGTAGGAACATCAGTCAGAACCAGGTGACCTTAACAAGGACTGCTGCATCATGACCCCAGAGAGAGAGCTGGAGTTTATTGTTTAAGATCTCAGGGTTGTCTAAGGAAAAAACAGCAAGGCATCCAAAGAACATAAATACCACATTTTCTCAATCCCCCATGCACAATGAGTGACTCTGTCCTGAGGTAATGCTGGTGGGAATATTGCTGATGATTTCCCCATTGTTTAGCCTCTACTAATGAATGATTTGGGTTAAAAGAAGTAATCCTGTAGCTTGCTCTGAATTCTGTGATTTATATTGCTTTGTACTTCAATGGAAATTATAAAAATATGGGTGATTCAGGGCTTACCTTTATTCAAGATGCTTCACTGCTGTTGAAGTACAAGAGCTCTTTCTTCCCAATTTCTGATGATAAATGAGTTAACATTCATCAGAATCAGAGCAGATCCATCTCTGACCTTCTAAAACCAGTACACTGGCAAAATGACACAATTTGTACTTGTGAATTTATCTAGGTTTTCCTACTTACCTACATGACAGAAAAAAAAAATGAAGCTACAAACATTAACTCATTCAAATTATAGTCCATTAAATGGACCAGCACAGAAAATTATTCTCACCTTTATGATTTCCCCCCAGGTTGCATGATCCCCTTGATGGTAGAAATTTTTGAGCCTATTTATCATAGATACCATAAACCTAATGCTGAATCTTTGGGGATTCAAAGTGTACTCAATTTGTAATTTCCCTCCAGGAGTACCTAGTTCCCAGGGCAGAGTTGTGTGTTGTCCTTTGGGAATTTTTCCACTGCGTAAGAACAAATCTACTAAAGGAAAACCAATGATATAAATATTTTTCCATTTCTAATGGAAAAACCTACAATCCTTTGTGATTTCATTAACAAATATGCAATACTTTAACATTCAACGGAGGAAATTTTTTAAATAACAGATTAAATAATAGAGAAGTCACTTTAAGTCCTTCTGAGTTTAAATCCATGTTGTAAGTTTTCTATCTATAAAGCTGCCAAAAGGTTATATAACTCCCTCCAACCTTATTTATATTGATAGCTCCATATTCCTCTGTGTAGCTATGTAGTACAGCTCATAAAAGATAGATTGGTGCACACATCAGTGGTCCTCTAAGTTTCACCAAAATGGCTCTAATTTTATGGTGATGAAGACAGCTTCTTCGAGAAATGCTGTTGGGAAAATTGGATATCCACATATAGAAGATGGAACTGGATTCCCATCTCGTGCTCTGTACAAAGGCCAATTCAGAAAGGTACCAAGGTCCTTAAAATAAAACCTGAAATTCAAAATCACTAGAGGAAAATTCTTCAAGATCTGGACACAGCAAATAATATTCTGAATAAGATTACAAGAGTACAGAAAACAATTGAAATAATGAATGAAATCACATAAAACTAAAAAGCATCTGCACAATAAAAATAATTGATAAAGAGACAGCATTCAGAATAGAAGAAAAACATTTGACAGCTATTGATCTGACAATATGTAAATATCCAAAACATATAAAGTACTAAAAAACGAAGTAGAAAAAATTCTATCAGCAAATTGATATGGGCAAGTATGAGCTGGGATTGAAGCACTCTGAAAGACTGCTTGCCTAGTATACACAAAATCCTTACTTTGATATTTTGTTGCAAAAAGTAAATAAGCAAAATAATCAATGAGCAAATGAACTGAAAAGCTAGTCTTTAATAAAGACTTGTGAATAGCTCTATATGAAATATATGAAAATATTAGATATATGGAAAATATATATGAAAATATATGAAAGAGATATATGAAAAAATACTCTCTTCTTAGCCATCAGGAAAAATATAAATTAAATACATTGAAGCCATACATGGAGTCTCATGTCTGTAATCCTGGAAACAGGTGGATTTGTATGAATTTTGTGCCAGAGGAAGAAAAAAGAACAAAAAAGAATTAAAAAAAAACTCATCGAGATTCTATCTCACTTCATTCAGAAGGTCTGTCAAACAAAACAAAACAAAACAACAAACAAACGAACAAACAAAAACAACTGGCTAGGAGATTGAGGGAAAGTTACCCTTATATAGAATTGGTGGAAATTAAAGTGGTTCAGATTCTATGGAAATGAGAGTGGAGATTCCTCCAGGAGAGCTTAAAATAGAGTCACCATGTGATCTTGTTATGTCACTCCTGGTGTCCAAAAGCTACACCTGCACACCCATGTTCTTTGAAATAATTCATTGTAGTCAAGTTACGGAACCAGTATAGAAGTATAGAACTCGATGAGTGGATAAAGACAATAGATTGTGGATGCATGATAGAACTAAATTCTGAAAATTGAAGGAAACAGCTTGGAAATGCAGATCAAGTCAACTGAAATGTTATATTCAGAGAGATACCATGGTTCCTGTTCTGTGCAGAAGCTCAGTTCACGAGAGGGTGGGATGAGGACAAAGATGGTGAAAGTACTTTATTTATATCCATTAAAATTCCATCCTGAAGACCATTAGATTACACAGTCAATATATGCTAATAGAGAACCTCAAGAAGAAGATGCACTCTTGTGCTACAGGATTCTCCAAGGTTTGAAAATGCATGGCATCCTGCATACAGCACCACAGCATCATTCAGAGGTGGCTCCTGGCCTTAGAACCTCAGTGTTTCCGCTGTTTCTTCTCTGCTTTTCCTAATCTCTAGCAATCATTGACATTTGCATGTCACTGGGAGTTTAGCTACTCCACATGGTAGTGCCACTGGACTCACTGGTGTCCAGCTTATGCAGACTGAGTTTTTCACTTAGCAATGTGCACTTTAGACTCCTTCACCTTTCTACAAGCCCTAGTAGCTAATTTCTTCCAATTCCCTTATATGGAATGTACTACAGATTGTTTATGGACCCACTTTTTGAGGAATATCTTGGTGGTGTTGGCAACCATGAGTAAAGCTGCTACATTCACGTGCAAGTTTTCTGTCCTCACGTTTATTTTCAAACCAGTCAATACAAGTATCTAGGAGCAAATGGACTGTGAAATAAGAAGAGGATTTGTTTTGTTATTTTTCTTTTTGTTTCTGTTTGTACTTGTGTTTGGTTTAGTTTGATTCGGTTTGGAATTTTTGGAGAAGAGAGAATCAACTTGGGCGGATAGGAAGGTGGGAAGGATATGGGAGGAATTTCTGGAGGGGATCAACATGGTCAAAATATAATGTCTATAGAAAATTTTTCAATTAAAAAAATCACGCTGTCTCCAAAATGTCTCTCATTCTAAAATCTCATAAAAAGCAAATGAAAGTTTTCATCATTCTAGATCCTTTTCACTGTTAGGGAATTTTTGTATTAGGATTTTTTTTTATGTTAGTCATCCTGATGGATATAATATATTGAAGTGTTTAATTCTATAATTTCCTAATTTTAAATACAGTTTACTCTTTTTTTCAAATGCTGATGTTCCATGCCCATATTTTCTTTGCTGATATGGCTATTTAGATTTCTGCCCATGTCTTACTGTTTTGTTTCTTTGTGATTGAGGTTTTAGTGTTACTTACTTATTGTACATAGACGCTTCTCATTAGATATGCATTTTAAAGTACTCTCTGTCATTAAGTGTTTTATTTTATATTTCTTTTTTGTTGTTTTTTTGAATATTTTTGTTGTTGTTTGTTCTTTGTTTTGTTTCAAGACAGGATTTTACCATGTAACAGCCTTGCCTGTCCTGGAACTTGTTCTGTAGACCAGGCTGGCCTTGAGCTCAGAGATTTTCCTGCTACTGTCTCCCAAGTGCTGGGATTGAAGGCATGGGCCAACATGCCCCACTGTTTCATGTTTATTTATTGACAGAAAAACAGAAAAAGAAGACACATAGATAAAATCAGATAAAAATTTCGATGTTATCTCTTCCTATGGAAACTTTTGACCCTTGAACCCTGTCAAATATTGCAAGGAATTTTTTTTTTACCATTTCCATTACTAGCCATGATGACCAAGCCTGAATCTTCATTCGTTTTCTTGGTCTCAATGTTTTAATGAATAATTTTAATTCATACACATGGCAAATTTTATCTCAAATTATATGAAATTTGATTCTTAATTTATTCAAACCATTATGCAAGGAAATTCATAACAAGGAAAAATTGATGAAGTTAAAATATATTCATATTTTAAATGAACAGACAAAATCAAAATGCAGTTATGCTGTATACAGAAGTCATAGCATTTCAACAAGAACCCAAGTTCCCGACATGAGATACCTCTATATGAGCTATATACAGAGGCTTCCCAATTAATAGAGGATGTTGCATTGCTCTTGGTTGCCCACCAGAGCTAGATAGTAGAATCCCTTTGTTAACTGTATAACGCAATTTGGACACATGGCAAAGGAATCAAGTTAGTCGCACTGAAGGATTCCTCCTTATTGGCTATTATTTATAATACCAAAAAATGCAAAATAAACTTTTGGAAAAAAAAATTTATCAAATTCATTTAGCTATAGGCTAAGTGTACTATAATACTGACCTTCTAAGAAAGAGACAATCGCTGATACAATAATTCCACAACTATTTGAGCAATAATTTTCCTTGGATTACGTAATATACCCAAGTAAACTAAATTCTTAATTACTGATGAAAATGTGTACCTATTTCTGGACTATAACTGTATCATGCTTTGCCTTTAAACAGCTGATTGAAACTTCTATTTTTATTCATTTATTAACTATTTCAAACATGATTTTACCAGGTTGCCCAGGTAGTCTGCAAATTCAAGACTCTTATACTGTACCCTTCCCTCTCTAGTGCTGGGATTACAAAGCTACTTTAAATTTAAAGTTTACTAACAATGTTCTTAGTTACATTTTCTTTTTGAGGATGCTTTTTTGTTTTTGTTTGTTTGTTATTGTTTTCATTGCTTTGCTACTGAGATAAGGTATGTCTGTGTCATCCAGCCTGGCCTGGAATTCATTATGTGTGCCAGGCTGGCTTTCAAATTGTGATTCTTCTGCCTTAGTTTCTTTA